AGATCGCTGACGAAGAGATATCGTAGACGAGACAACCCCGTAACCGCTAACATTGTGCTTGCATACCGCCGCGTGCGATCGATCATGCCAGTCTGCACAGTGTTTTCTTCAAGCTGCATTTAAGATGTGACGCAGTTTTCACATTGTGAGAAAAGCGCGAGAGGACGACCGGCCTGATGGTAGATTGCACTGCGCCATCGTAGTTTACGCAATTCATCAAAAAGTTCGAAGATTCCGAGTTCAATCTTCAGGAGTTCTATTCGCAGCCACAAGCAAATCGAGGCTGTGTTCCAATTAGGTGCGATTTTTCGATATATCTCAAACATCGCCATTTTCTATTCTTGAATTACAGTGCGATATATAACTGGTTTAATTGCAAAATCACGCTTTTTAATCACATTTGCGATTAATATTCTGTACTTGTTCTTTAATTCTTTTAAATCATATAAACAATTCAACTAACGCGCAATAAAAAACTGATACAATTTTTTATTTTATAAAGGATTCTTTTTTTGAATACGTATTCTAAATTTTATTAGAGATTTCTCAATACTATCATTAAAAAAAATTACTTTCATATTTGCTGCATTCTAAGGTCGGTATTCATAGTCGATTCTTATTTCAAGACCGTCTTAAGTAATGTCTTAAGACATTAATGCGGCCCTCTGATTGGTTTGTGACATCTTAAGACTGAGTTTAAGACGGTTTTAAGAACTGACTATGAATACCGGCTTAAGAATTAATATTAATATTTTTTATTATTCAGAGCTATCATTGCTCTGAACTTACCAAAACTCTTTAATACAATAAATAGGCAGTCGAATAAATACATAATACACACATATGAAAATCGCGATGCAATATACATATAATGTCCACTGTGATGGTTAAGAAAGATCGCAATCGCGATGCATAATTTAAAAAATCGCACATCGTTAGGGCAATATACACTGCCCATACAGAAAATCTATAATATACGCAATATAAACTATATAAAAACGTACCAATAGATGGCCCACCCTATATAACTTATGTTAGAAAAAATTAAACCATTCATCATTTTTCAGTTACTTTATAACCACAGGCTTCCTTTACATATTACTTAAAATTCATAACGAAATTTCTTATAATTTATATTTTCAGTATTGACAATATATATAGTTAGAAATTTTTTAATGAATTTTGAACAACATGTAAAAAAAGCTTGGTTATACACGAAATTAAAAGTGAATGATTATGTAACTGAAAACTAATTAATGTTTGCAGTTATAGTAGTAACTCAAATTTAAAACGCTTAATTTTTAAGTTACCACAAACTTAAATTTCATTAACATGTATATTAACAGATTCTTCAATTATCTAGAATATAAATTTCACTCACCAGTGTACATTAAAAATTAATACAATTATTAAATAAAACATTTCAATTTAAAAACAATGTATTGGAATATATAATAAATGTAAAATTCATTGTATATAGAATTCACTGTAAAAAATTTCATAAAATTCAATATACTTTTAAGTTATACAATTTGAATTTAATTTCATGACATTATATTAAATTTAATGTATTTATAACTAAAAAGTATAATATATATTTGTGTACATGTACCATATTATGTACATGTAATATACATGAAATTTAATGTATTTTTAATAAAAATTTATGAAATTTAATATACATGTTCATTACACGTTCATTAGTAACTATTGTAACTTAATTTTCAGTTAAATTATTCATTACTTTTAATTTCGTTCATTTACATATATAAAGAAAGTTCGTGCATAGTTACATTTCTAACAATGATATACACTTAAAAATTTCAGTGTTGTTATTGCCAGCTAATCAATCAGTGTATATTCTTTGTTACATTAAGATTAAATTATTAAAGATTCAGTTTTGGTTTTGATGTCCGTCTGGACTATAATTAATATCAGAATTTTTTTTCCTTCTTTTTTCTTTTTCTTTGCGATTAACGTTTTAGGAGTATTAAAAGTTATTCATTAATTTCAACATAATTGACACTGATTCGCTAAATGATCAAAGACTGGTTTTTGACTAAACCGATAGAATTTAAATATTTGTGATATGGTGAATTTTTGTTTTAGTGAGCTACCTTCTATTATTTCACAATAAATCGTTTTTGCTCCCAAAAAATTTACCTTTTAATAATTTTGTGGCTCACTGAAATGAATTAGTTTGTAAAAAAATTTTTTGTAATTACAACATCATATTGTCTCTGAGGATGGTTCAAAAGTAAGCCGAAACATATAAGCGGATTAATTATTATTAAAATTGTTTTGTTAACCGTATTGGTTTGCACAAGAATTACCTTGACTCCTATTGCTCTGTTATATCCAACCATTTTATAAAAATTTCATTAAATTTAATATATAATATTTTTAAGTTATACAATTTGAACTTAATTTCATGACATTATAGTAAATTGATGTATTAACTGAAAAGTATATATTTGTGTACATGTTCATTACATTTAAGTAACTACTCTCTCTGTAACTTAATTTTCAGTTAAATCATTCATTACGTTTTAATTTCGTTCATAATCACGAGCTTGCATGTAAAGAAAGCTCGTAGTTACATTTCTAACAGTGCAAATAATTTCGTATAATAGCAATTGAATTTCTAATGGATGCTTTATTATTAGTTTTGAAGATTTAGGATCAATTTCTGATTGGTCAGAAGAGTTTGAATGACTGCGCATCTAAAGGAATGTTACACCTAATATTCTTACATCATAGTAAAATATAAATTTCTTAAATTAATTAAAAATATCTGACAAGTTGAAAAATGATATGTTACACAATACAACGTATCATGGTCAAATCGCCTTTAAGAGTGCGAAGATGGTCGATTCTATCGACTAAACAACTTATAACTAACGGTGACCATGGCGCCGTGCTCTTGTTTTCAATGATCGGTCACGTCAGTTTTAACTCGAATTGGCGATCCGCACTTTCATAGATTCTCAGAAAGATTCAATTGCAAAACTACTCTTAATCATGAATGCTTTTAAACTCGGTGATAAAGCATTGGACAACACACACGAGCTCTCGTTCAATTTCCCAACAGAGGATAATAACAGCCAAACTTCTGTATCGTACGTTATTAATACGAATGTATCTCCTGTACCCGAACACAAGGTAAATTTTACTACAAAACCTTTCTTTTTTTATATAATGTTTTAACATAACGCTTCATATTTTTTCTCATGTTTTACACAATACTTATAACGCCAACTACGCTTTCATATAAAAATATGAATTTAAAGATTAAAATCTTTTTGTATTTTATTATTGCTCACGTATTCTAAAAAATGGGGATTTAATACCATATGTACTGTTTATATAATTCTTACCGTATTGATATAAAATAGCAACATGATGGATTTTTAACATCATGATTTAAAGGACATTCATCTATAAGTATAAAAAAAATGCTTACTTTTATGAATTTCATTTGCGAAATCTATCAACTTTGGACAAACCGGGTTTTGATCAATATTTTATACATTTACACGTATAGTGTCACATATAATTTTTAATAAAAATATTAAAAAATAGCGCTGGAACAATTGTTGGCATGAAGATATGAAGGTTATCTATAATAATAACAGTTTATGGTAGCCATTGAAACTTTCATACTACAGTTTGTCTGAAACAAAACTCAATAAATTTTTTGATAAAAAAACATTAATAAATCTAATCTTTGTTGTAGCCAAATTTAGACATTCCCAATTTTGACAAAATAGCGGACTTCTACAATTAAAAAGTGCAATTTTTTATTAAAAATTGTTAAAACTTTTCAGTTATTATAAAAAAATTATAACTTTAAAAAATTCCAAAAATTAGATTTATTAATATATTTCAAGAATTTGTTAGGTATTTTATTTGAGATAAATTATAAAAACTAGGATGGTCACACCGCTACTGCTATTATAATGTCAAATAATTGTCCCGATACCACTTATCAAAGTTTTTAATTAAAAATTTTATACATATAAGATATTGATCAAAATTCTGGTTGAGTAAAATTAATAATTTTGCGCAAAAAGAAACATACAAATAGGTATCTTCTTGACGTTAATGTTTATATCAACATCAACATGGTGAGCATTATATTTGTCATCCGTAGTGTTAATTCCAAGTCCATATTTTTTAGAATACAGAATTACTTATTGTTCATAAAAAAATAAAAAGAAAACAGTCCATTTGTATTGGCAAACAGATTGTCATGGATTGTCCAACAGAATGTAAAGTTTTAAACAACACTGTGAAGACCCAATTCGAAGTAAAAAAATGTGAAAATTTATGCGAAAGTGAAAAAACAGAAGCAACAAACAATGTCGATGAATACGACATTCCGACAATTTCCTTCAATTGCACGGATTTGAATAACGAAAATCCGTCTTATTTTAATTCTAGTATAAAAGATTGTGATGTTTCCATTTATGAATATTTTGATTGCAACGACAAGACAATTCAGGAAGAAGATTTCGAAGATAGTGAGAAAACAATTCAAAATCAATTTTTAACGGATGATCAACATACAAATTCTTCGAACAATTTAACAGAATTTCGAGATAGTCTCAACATTGATTCGGTGCATGAAAAAATATGTCGAATAAGATGTGGGAAAGAAAAATTTATCGATTCAAGAATCTCTACTAATGGACTAATTGCTGAGAATTTTATTAATTCGCAGAATATTCCTGAAAGTGACGATGTCACTTGTAAAATTATTGAAGAAGATACAAAAAATAAAGAGATGAATCTTGCACAGAATATTACATGTATAAATATTGAAGATTCTTTTCAAGAAGAATTAGACACAAAAAACTTATCAGTTTCAGCAATAGAATCTGGTAACTATTTTATAAGTAATAATGAGAATTACTTTAAAAATGACATCGATCTCTCGAAATGTATGGAAGAGAACGCGAATCATATGTTAAGTATATGTACCGAAAAAGACAGTATCGAAGAAACGATTACTGAGATAAAGAAAATGGATAAAATAATCAAGAATTTTTTGTACACTAGTGACGACGAGCATTACGATTCGACGGAGGAACGAATGATAGAAGACTTATCTGCGAAAATAGAAGACGATCGCGATGACGTAATGAAGAAAATTATCGAAAGTTGCTGCCATGCCGTAGATTTTCAGCAACGTTCAATGATATGCGAAATTTCGAGTGCAGATTCCATACAATCGAGCAGCAAATATGTAATTAAGGAATTTCGAGAAAATGAATTTTTCCCATGTCGTCGCGTCGTTTCCGAGACTGCCATAGCGAAAGAAGATATATTAAGAACTATCGAGGAAGCAGAGAAAATATTAACTGACAGTCCATATTGGGAAAAGTCAGAGGCAATTGTTAATCAGATGACTGAAAATTACGACAAAAACAATTCGTCGGAAAAATCTGCGGAAGAAGTAAAAGATGATAAAGAGCATGAAAGAGTAAATGAAACAATAGGTAAAAAAGAAATCGATTTTATCGAGACTAAAGATAACAAGATAAATTCAGCAAATACGATTGAAAAAATTGCAGTCTCGAAATCTGACGTTGTTGAAAATAATTTGCAAAAATTAGCTGAAATCACATGTTCAGATCGTCCTAGATCGCGGATCGAGGTTCAGGAAACTTTGGAGAAGATAGCAGAAGAAAAGAGGAAAATAGAAAATCGTAAGAATGAATCACTAGAGACACTATCGAAGAAATTCGAGGAAATTGACAAACTCGTTGCTGATCATAATTGTACTTTTCTTGGATCTGATAATGATTCTTATGAATTAAAAACTCCAGAGAATGTCGACATTGATTTTGACAGTCTCGGCGAGTTTCAGGTTCAGATTGGTCCAGAAAATTTCGAAATTCCTTTAACGAAGTCCGAAATAACTGAAAAATTGAAAATCGAGGAATTAGAAAAAGAACTAGAGGATGAAATAAAAGAGCACAAGAAACTTATGGATGAGTATCAAAAAATTATTGCGACGGATTTAGAGAAGATTCAATTGACTTTGGAATCGGAATCAATGCAAACTTACAATGGTGCGGATATCAATAAAGAAATAGAAAATAAATCTAAAGACGATGAAAAAATAAGTGAGGAATTTTCAAATGAAATATTAGAAATGACAGATGATACAACGGTGGCTAAAATTGATTCGGAATCCGACGATTTTTTCATGGAAGAATGGAAGGAACCAGAAAGGACGTATATTAAAGGAAAAGTCTATGACTTTGACGAAAAAAAGCATGGTGTTAGGTAAGCTTTAGAAATATAATAATTTAACTTAATCATAATTAACAATTATTAATAAAATATTAATACTTAATTATTTAACTTAACAATAATAAATAATTATTACTAGACAATTAATAATAGTTAACAGGTTAGCTTAATAATAATTAGTAATTAATAAGATATTAATCATTAATATCTTAGACAATAATTATCACTGATTTAACAACAGATGATAATTTTAGGATGACAGAAGAACTCATCAGGAAGCACTGCAAGGAGCACAAATTGTATCAAACCCCGTATTTGAACGACGTTTTGTATTTGCATTACAAAGGCATGCATAATACTTTATCGATCATCATATACGTTAATTATATTTAATATATGTATTAATGATGACTTTACGTTTTTTAGGATTCTCCTTCATTGAAAACCTCGAGAAATACACGGGTCTAAAGTGTTTGTGGCTAGAAAGCAATGGTATATACGAGATTGCCAATTTAGAAAATCAGAGCGAACTTAAGAGCTTATATCTGCACCACAACCTCATCAGTAAAATCGAGAATCTCGACTGCCTGCCGAAGCTCGACACCCTGAATCTCTCGCACAACACGATACGGAGGATCGAGAATCTCGGTGACTCGAGTCGTGAAGCGAGTATTATCCCAGATGACCTTGACCTTGACGTGCCTCTGCTTTTCAGACGGCCTCAAGTTCCTGAACAACCTGAACCTGTCGCACAACTATCTACGAGAAACCGCTGACATCGAGCATCTCCGTCTGCTGCACACGCTCTCGATCTTGGATATCTCTCACAACAGGATCGACACCTGCGACATCGTTGACGTAAGTCGATAACTACGCACGGTGCATGCAATACGCACAACCGGAATATATTTCCGAAATGACAGGTGATGTTACGGCGAAAACGCGATTGGAATATATTTACGTATTAAATAATGTTTGTGTGTGGTTGCAAACTGATATTATCTTAACCATTAACTTAAAAAATTCTACTGCAGCTATATTCATTAACTCTTTACTCAAGTGGGTTTTTTTTTTAACGTAATTATTCATGTGGGGTATATTTTTCATATCACAGTATTATATCTTTATTTCAATTTTTATTTCTTTGGCAATTTACAATAAAATAAAAATTCATAATAAGTCTTCTAGGTATAAATAGGTAGGATAAATATAATTTTTTTTAAATGTATGTACACTAAATACAATAACGCGTATACTTAAATAGCATTAAGACATTTAGCAAATTTGTAAAAGGGGTTTTGGATATCTCACACTAGTAATAAAGGGTTTTATTACATCATGAACTAAAAGTTTAATGATTTTTATCTATTTTTTTCTGAGCTAAATTGAAAATATACACATTTCAAAAAATGCTTTACATATATTAATACAGAACATCTCTATGATACGTATAATCTCGTCGAGGTGTCTCATTTGCCGCAAGTGCGAGCAAAAGTTGAACTGTTTAGATTTTGGGAGACATGAAGTCGCTGCGCGTTGTAACATTGAGTGGCAATCCAGTGCTCAAACAGATAAAGATGTATCGCAAGACGATGATCCTTAAATGCAAGAATCTTCAATATCTAGACGATCGACCGGTGTTCCCACGCGATCGTGCCTGCGCCGAGGCCTGGTAAATTTATCAGCAAGAACACGACATGTGAGAAAGTAATATCTCGTTAGTCTTAAAATATCTCTGAATCGACACACAGGATGCGTGGCGGTGTCGACGAGGAGGTGGCCGAGAGGAATCGGTGGTTCCAAGCGGAGCAGAAGAAAATCAACGACAGTGTTATGGGTGAGTTAAAAGATTCGTTACTCGAAGCGGGCCTCGAAATGGCCACCCCTTTGATTCCTCTCACCTGTTCTGTCCCTCTGGTCTCGGTTTTTGTTTACCTGTCGAACGTTGCGTCCGCCCTCGAAAGCCCTGATAAACAAAAGGAAGCTGTGCAAACCGGTCGGGACGTCCGAAAAGGAGGCGACAGATAAGAAGAAGAAGGAGAAGAAGGAGGAGGAGGAGGACGAGGAGGAGGAGGAGGAGGAGGACGAAGAAGTCACGACGAAATCAAGCGCGCGCACCGCGACAAGGAGCAGCGGACTGGTAAGAACTAGTTTCGTCAAGGTCTGGTACAGAATTCGTGCTTTGAATAATATCACCACCATCGGTCCCGTCGGCTATTTGATCATTCACCACGTAAAACCCGTACACCTCCCAATCTCCTGCTATCCATGATACCGGCCACGATGAACGCGCTAAAGCTCGACCTGGAGAAGAAGAAAAAATCTGAGGATCGATCCTTCCTCGGTTCTTATGACTCTCCGTTGTCGTCGTCATCGTCGGAAGACGAACAGCTCGCAAACGACGAAGAAAACGAACGCTCACGGCAAAAAGGAGGCAAGGAAAGTGACGGAAGGAGGCCAATGGCGGAGCAAGAGAAAAAAGTTCCCGATGAAAACAACGGGGAGCTTCTGCTGCCCTGGAAAGCCAAGGTATGCAATCCTTATCTTCTTGTAACAAATAGAAATTTAACAAGGGATATATAAAGAGTTGTTCATTTATTCCTCATGGTTAGGTTCAAGAAGAGATCCAACCGCGGACGCTGATTGAAGAAATATCGGAATCTAAACATGACATCGCTGGTGATGCAGAAAGAAAATGGCACAGAGATCAAATTTTGAATAACTATGAAAGTATGTACGATTCACTCGATGATGGTACCGTCAACAAGAAGACTGTCTCTCCTAAGAAAGAAGTATTAGAACTGCAATTAGAAAAAGAAATGACAGCAGATTTGCAAGAATCAATCAGTAACAATAATAAAGCTAACGGTGAGCAGATTACATCGTTCCCTTACAATATAACTCAAAATATCACCAAGTTTATATTTAATGAACTAAAATGATTAAATTTAAAGCAAAACAATATTTTCTTCGAACTTCGACCTTCAAAACTATCTAAATTCTAAAAATTATCTGTAAAAGATTTCTTTTTATTGCAAAAATAATATAACTTAAAAAATATCTCTTGTGTACGATGATAACTTAAAAAACTTAATTATCAAATTATTACAATAAATGAATTAGATGAAGATTACTCCAGTAATTATCAAAAATTAACTTCACAATTTGTCCATCAAATAACACTTACGTCTAAAAGGTTTTTTTTTAAAGAACTCATAAAATCTTTTTCAAGAGTTATAAGTTGTGTTGTTTTTGTAAATAAAAAGTAGTGTTTTTTATAGACAATATTTAGAATTAAGACAGTTTTGATGATTGATGACACCCTCTTCGTATTGTTGTCGATTTTGATCCTACAAAATTATAATATATATAATAATCCGGAATATGATTCTCTCTCATTAAATGTGATATAATTCGAAACATCACAGCACAACTTATATTTGCCTTGAGCAATTAAAATTACTAAATTCAAAATAGAATAATAATGTTGTGATATTTCGAATTATGTCACTTTTAATTATTTCGGATTTATTATATTTTGTAGGCCATCAAAATTATCAATTCAAAAAAGGGTTTTGAGAGAAATGGAAATAACAGAAACAACATTCGATCACGTTTCTAAAAATATTCTTTTTATCGATATTATGATTAGTTAATAATTTTCTGTTAAGTCAAAAAATAGTTTTTCCTCTTTTCTAAAAAAATTAATCTTCGAGTTCTGTCACTTTTGAAATAAGAGAACGACATGTTAAAGAATTAATATTTTGATGACGCCTTTAGAGATACAGTTTAACAAGAAATTATGCGCATGTAGGGTAAGATTGCCGAAATTTGCATCACTTCTGCACTTAGAGATTCATAATTCAGAAATTACGAGGAATATTCTTAAGTTTTTTACACTACAATAAACTGCACTCTTTTCCCTTTCTTATATAATTTTTTGATAATTTGTT